TCTGCTAGGAGCCAGGTGATAAGGAGCTCAGCTGGGGTAGGAAGGAGAATGGACTTGGGGGAGAACCCATTCCATGCAGGCAGCTGCCTGAGGAAGGCGCAGGAAGGGTTCTTTTGCTGGATGCCAGAAGGGTAGGGTGGGAGTTAGGCTGGCGCAGGTCACGAGGGCCTCCCTTGCACAGCAGGGAATTCAGATTTCACCCTGAAGGTGATGAGAATCACTGAAGGGTGAGCGGAAGGAAAGTGACTGATCAGATTTGCGCTTTGTAATCATCTTACGGGGAGCAGGAAGCATGCATGACGTGTAGGGCAAAACTTGGTGGGGAAGATTATTTAGAAGATTACTGACCAGCTTCAGGCGAGAAGTGATGAGCGTATGAACAGAGACGGGCAGTGGGCTCAGAGCGGAGGACTCATCATCCCATGGCCGGACTCTGCTTGTCTTTGACTTCTCAACTCCAGCATGGATTGCATTTTGTTGCTCCCCCCAATACCACCCACAACCTTTCTATGGATTCCACGCTGATTTTCATCTTGGTGTTGCTGACAATTTGCAGGAACTCTTCTTCAGGATTTGGTGACTTTAGGACAACAAGAACCTTCTCTGGGCCTAGCACTCTGCCTGCTTTTCTCAGCCTGAAAGCCCTGGGAGGAAGCAGGTGGCGCCCCACGCCGCCTCACAGGAACAGAGGCGCCGGCAGGAGCTGGGGGCCTCTGCGCCAAAGCACAGGCGGTGGCGAGTGGGGATGCTCCCTGAGCCCCAAGCAACAGCCTGGTAAGGAACCTCGATCGTCGATCGTCGTCGCCTTTCTGAGTTCAGTTATTGTATTCGTTTCCGTCAAGCATATACACAGTCTGTGGAATGCTTATGAAACAGAGGTGACTTTTCTTCCAGTTCCAAGCTCCCCTCACGCGGGGCACTTGCTCAGGTTGTACTCACAAAGGAGCTGTGTCAGTGGTCAAAGAAATCAAATACTTCCCTCTCATTCGGTGGAGAGCTGCTCCCTGAAACCACCTTCCTGGCCACCTCCGTCAGTCCCTCCTCTAGGTTACTGTAGACATTCCTATGCCTCTGGTAATTAAAGGGGTAACTCCCTGCAGCAGAGTCCCCGAGCCCCTGCCCTTTCTCCAAGCTGCTCCTCTGTTTGCTTGATTGTTGCCCACGCGCCTCTGGCTGTTAAATATTGCTACCATCACTCCTGTTTTTCAGTAATAAGGTAAACATTTCGGCACATATTGGCAACAAGAAGGATTCTCCTGAATCAAATGTTTAAGAAGCACAATTCTGGCCGGGCGCAGTGACTCACACCTGTAATCCCACTACTTTGGGAGGCCTAGGCGGGTGGATCACCTGAGGTCAGGAGTTCAAGACCAGCATGGCCAAAAGGTGAAACCCGTCTTTACTAAAAATACAAAAAATTAGCTAGATGTGGTGGCGTGCGCCTGTAGTCCCAGCTACTCTGGAGGCTGAGGCAAGAGAGTCACTTGAACCTGGGAAGCAGAGGTTGCAGTGAGCCGAGATTGTGCCATTGCACTCCAGCCTGGGCAACAGGAACAAAACTCCATCTCAAAAAAAAAAAAAGCTCTGTTCTAAGAAGTAAAGATAATCATATAAAATAAGTGACAAACACAAGAAACCCGTACAAAAATCAGTCACACCACCAATACATAATTGAATAGTTGTGAAACAATTTCATGATATATTTTACTTTAATATAAAAAGATAAAATATTAAAAATCTTGTCCTGCAGGTGTGTTACAAGAAAAGTCAGTGAGCAGCAACTAATCTTTTATTTCTCAAAGGCTGAAGAGTATAGAGCTATGTGTGCAAGGTGGTAGCTTTGAATGTTTACTAAAATAACACGTGGAGAAATTCACTTATAAGTGACAAGTACTTCTAGGTGGCAGCACATACAGTTTATTTAGATTGCCCTTTAGGGAATGTTTTTATGTGACACTCCAGCTCCTTATCAAATAAATACTTGCTGTTCATTTGAACTGGAGTTATTACGGGGAAATGACTTTTGGATTCCACAGCGTTCTGCTGCATTATAAAGGTCTGGCCATGCCATCATTCCACAAAATGGTTTAGCAATTTGCTACAACATTTTTTTAAATGAGAGCAATCTGTCCACATATGAAAGATTTTAGAAAAACATTTTCATTATTTAAGATGATTTAATAAAAACTGTAAGTATCTAGTATAGGACAGTAGACTTCTTTTATAACTTAAAATAACCTACACATTTTTAAAAGAAAATTTGCCTCCACATTTTTTCAAGACAAAAATTTAAACATATATATTTTGCCACGATTATATATGTAATGGCTACATTAAAAAAGGATCAGAGAATAAGAAAAGACAGATAAGCATATATTGACAAGTGACTGTATATTATATTTATACCTGCAAATGTGATTGTAGAAACCTAGAATGATCAGATTCCCTGTTACATGTCTGAAAGGAAATTCCTTGCCATCAAGGTGCAATCCCTTTCTTTGAATTCAGTGTTAAATTTGCCTTTCTTTGAACTAGAACCCTAAAAGATCTTTGATTTTTGTTTTATTCAGATCTTTAGTCTTTCTAGAAGATTGTAATTCAAATGTGCTCTAAAACATCATTTTAAAACTTGAGACACGCAGATTAAAGAACAGTAACTAGTAGATTGAGTAAATGAGGTAGGATCACCACATTGGTGGCCCTAGAAGAGCCATGCCTCCTTGTCTTCTCACCTTTTGATAGCCCCCTCTCACATTGACTACAGGCTGAGTCATAGATTTGCTGTAGCCAATGAAGCAATAGCAAGCATTACTCCAGTAGAGGCTTGATAAATGCTTGCATGTTGGCTTTTCCTTTTATTATTCAGCTACCTTGTTGCCCGAGAATCTGTCATTTTTTAAATTATTATTATTATACTTTAAGTTCTAGGGTACTTGTGCACAATGTGCAGGTTTATTACATATGTATACTTGTGCCATGTTGGTGTGCTGCACCCATCAACTCGTCAGCACCCATCAACTCGTCATTTACATCAGGTATAACTCCCAATGCCATCCCTCCTCCCTCCCCCCTCCCCATGATAGGCCCCGGTGTGTGATGTTCCCCTTCCCGAGTCCAAGTGATCTCATTGTTCAGTTCCCACCTATGAGTGAGAACATGCAGTGTTTGGTTTTCTGTTCTTGTGATAGTTTGCTGAGAATGATGGTTTCCAGCTGCATCCATGTTCCTACAAAGGACACAAACTCATCCTTTTTTGGCTGCATAGTATTCCATGGTGTATATGTGCCACATTTTCTTAATCCAGTCTGTCACTGATGGACATTTGGGTTGACTCCAAGTCTTTGCTATTGTGAAGAGTGCTGCAATAAACATACGTGTGCATGTGTCTTTATAGCAGCATGATTTATAATCCTTTGGGTATATACCCAGTAATGGGATGGCTGGGTTCTTATACAGCAGTAACAGACAAACAGAGAGCCAAATCATGAATGAACTTTCATTCACAATAGCTTAAAAGAGAATAAAATACCTAGGAATCCAACTTACAAGGGACGTAAAGGACCTCTTCAAGGAGAACTACAAACCACTGCTCAGTGAAATAAAAGAGGACACAAACAAATGGAAGAACATACCATGCTCATGGATAGGAAGAATCAATATTGTGAAAATGGCCATACTGCCCAAGGTAATTTCTAGATTCAATGCCATCCCCATCAAGCTACCAATGACTTTCTTCACAGAATTGGAAAAAACTGCTTTAAAGTTTTGTTTGTTTGTTTGTTTGTTTGTTTGTTTAAGAAAGAGAAGCCATATGTGTGTGCAGGAGAATGGGGCCAACAACCAGCACCAGAGATGTGAGTGAGGCCTCTTTGGACATTCCAGTCCTAGCAGAGCTCCAGATTGACAGGCTCACATCAGTGACCCTAGTCAATATTGTGTGGAGTTTATGAGAGTGACTTTATCTAATACCATATAAAGCAGAGGAACTACCTGGCTGAGATGTGCCCAAATTCCTAATGCACAGAACTCTAAGCAATAAATTAATATTGTTTCAAGCAATTGCATTTTGGAGTGGTTTGTTACATAGTAGTAGATAATGAATACAGTAAGTGATAGCAAGGATTTCTTAAAGATTTTTCTATAATTAATTCCAAGGTACTTTCTTCATTGACATACCACTGATATTTCTGCTATCTATTTATTTACTAATGATTCCGTGTCTCTTATTCCTACTAAGCTAACCAGCTGAACAGAACTGAGATGGTTGGTTTATGTGAATAGTGAGTTGAGAATGGTTTTATTGGAATATTGACTCAAACTAGATGATAAGTCCTGCTTGGATCTCAAAGGAACATTGTTCTTGATGATGTTACACATCCTTAAATTAATTCCACTCCTCATTGTGGTCAAACTGTGAGTGGGGCAGTCTGGTAGAAGAAAATTACTTTTAAGGAGTCCCTTGCACATAAACGTTCTATGGACTAATCACATCATTTCCTTCTCATTTCTGTATATGGAATTGTATTCTGATGCCAGATTTTAGGCACTAAAATGCAAAGGGTCTCTAGTGGGATTTGTTTTTTAAGGAATTAATGAAATGTCAGGTTTATTAGACTGAGCAAGCCATTGGCTGTGGGTGTTTCCATCCTTCTTTCTCTGGAAATTTAGTGGAAGAATGCATTAGCAGAAGAACCTGAGGCAGCTAAGTGAAAAGGGACCACTTCTGGTGGATGGTGATACTATTTCATTGAATAGTGTGGATTGTATCGTAAGTTAGAAATGACAGTCACTAACTGCTTCTAAATACAAAATGTCTAGATACCAAGAGAAAAAAGGTGTAACCTGCCATCAGGTATAACTAGTGGTACCATAATTGCTGCTATTTCTGTTGGATGTTCTCTGTGTGCTTACCTGAGGCATTTTCTATCACGTAGGTGTGGAGAAAAAAATGCCAATAAAGAAGAGTTCTGATTAGATAATGATACAAAAGTGACACTTACAGAGAGTAGTATTTGGACAGCACTGTGGATGACCTCCAGGTACTGGAAGTCAACGATGCAGCCTGTGACGGAGACGTACGTGTAATCGTCCATCATGCCATGGGCTGAGGGAGGCAGCACTCTTCTGACACAACCAGGCCCGTGTTCTCTCCACCATGACCGATGTACAGAGATATTGAATGTCATTAGATCGGTGTCCTAGGTGGGTAGGAGACAAAAGAGCAAAATGAGAAAATTGTATTACATCACGTCTTTGACTTTGACCCTAGGAAGAATTCAGGGTGGATGAAATTGTTACAATGATTTCAATTTCAAGTGAAAAGTAACAAAAGACAAAGCCCCAAGTGCCTGCATGTATTATATGCCTAAATTATTGGGTTATAATTATTAAATGTGGAGATACAATCCTTTGATTAATATTAACATTTTAAAGGTAATACATTAAAAAAATCCAGAGATGAGATCTTCTATATACTTTTATTTAAAAATAATTTTTACCTTGAAACTTTTTGGCTGCATTTTCTTGTTGCTGCATCATGAACATCACTATCATGGGATAAATATTGTTGAATGCTTTATGGCATGGTAGATGTTGTTCTAAGTGAATTTCACATACTATATTCTTGAACATTCATGTAGGTACTTTAATGATCAACCTGATTTATAGCAGGCTGAATAATTGTCTCCACCAATGACACTTAGCTTCTAATCCCTGGAACTTGTGAATTTTACTTTATATGGCAATAAAGCACTGTGCAGATATGATTAAATTAAGGATCATGAGATGGGGAGGTGGTCATGGATTATCTGAGTGGACCCTAAATGCAATCATGTGCATTCTTATAAGAGGGAGGCAGACAGAGATTAGACATAAGGAAGAAGAGGCAAAGGCAATGTGACCATAGAAGCAGAGACTGGGATGTGGCCGCCAGCAAGGATTTCTGCCAGCCACCAAAAGTGGGAAGAGGCCAGGAAGAATTCTCCTGTAAAGCTTCGGAGAGAGTGTGGCCCTGCCAAGACCTTGAATTCGGCTCAGTGAAGCTGATTTCAGACTTCTGGCCTTCAGAACAGTGAGAGAATAAATTTCGGAGGTTTAAGCCATCAATTTTGTGGTGATTTGCTAAAGCAGCCATGAGAAACTAATATCGGTGAGAAAAGTAAGTCACAGAAAGGTTAACTGAATTTGCCCATGGTAGCACAGCTAGTTAGTGGTGAAGCTGGGACATAATACAGTGCAGTGTTTACTTTTAGCTATGACGTGGCACTCTCTCACATTACTTGCTGTCTTCCACCTCCAAAGCCCTGATCATTCCTTATACCCTGAAGAGAGCCAGGTCCTTCCTCCTCAGTTGTTTCAAGAAAATAGCACCACAGTCAATCACAAGAACAAAGAAGACAAACCTTAACTTTTATGTATTAAAATACACTTTCAGAGCTCTTAATGGAAAAAATAGCCTGGTTTTTGATCCTTAAGAGATGCCCTTTAGTATTTCTGGGGTGTTAACCTATGAAGGGCTAAGATCATAATGTTGTGGTCATAAACAATAGATTGAAAAGAACAGATTAGGGACCAGGACCTTGACTCTCAAATAATCCAAAGACTGCAACCACCATGTAGATCAGGAAGAAGAAGGAGTGGTGATAGAGAGAGGCCAAAGCAGTCCCTGGGCCAGGACACTGCTCTGTAGGGTAGCTGGGGATGCAGGAGCAGAGTCAGCTTTTGTTTATTTCCCTGCCTCCACTCCCTCCAAGAGTGAACTCTGTCTTAGTGCCAGGGGGCCAAGTTGGAGCAGGCTCCATACGTGACCTTTGCTGAGAGGTGCAGAGGCTGCCCGCAGGCTATGCAACACAACCGAGGCACATCTGTGCATTCCAAGGTTCCTTTGAGGACAGTCTCCACTTCAGTTGCCAAGGACACACCTAAATGACTGAAATTGAGGTTGGAATTCTGTAAACTTAGAGGAAGCTAGTGGGAAATGGAAAGCCTTGAACTTACCCATGGGTGGCACTGAAAGTAACCAGGGTGGAGCTTTCTGAAAAGGACAGTAGGGAAACCCTCCTTTTACACTGCTGTATATGGTAAGTGAATCACAAGGGTAGTAACATTCCCAGTGCATATAAGTAGGCAGGGTTACTATGCAGTTTTAGATTTTCCTTAATTCAAGGAATTCAAAGTACCATTATAAGTATGCCTCAAATTATATCAACAATAAAACATGTTACACCTTTTTCCTTTTGACTGTTGGTTTGCTATTCAGTTACCTTCACAGTTACAGAACTTTATTGATAATAAAACATTTAGGCCATTTTTTTGGTTGTGGTTTGCTACCTATATCATTTGCAGTTAATCTCTGAAGGAAAAATATTATGGAAAAATAATTGCTTCAGCTACCAAATTCAGTTTAACGCAAGGCAATTTACCTGCACACAAACATCAGAGATGCACACTGATTGCTCCCTTTTCTGGTCATCAGATTTAATTTCTTACAGTTAAATGTGCTTACTACAGAAGAACTATGTATTATTTCTCATCTTAATAGAATTTACTAGGTTCAGGATGAACTAGCACGATCTCAAAATTCGTAGCGTTTTCTATTCCTTAATCATTCTTACCCAGTGACCTATCCTGTTGCAGACTGCAAGTTCATTTCAGTATGACTTTACCTAAAATTTATATTATACAAATAAAACAAGAGTCAATTTATGAACTAATCATACATATTTGTTACACTCATAAAACCTTTCAGCATAGGTATCACTAAATTTGTTGGAACTATAACATATTTATAAACGGTACTATTCCTTGCAATGACTGTATTAAAATTTGAATGAGAATATAAATAACATTAAATTGTACTTAAACTTCAAACTTCTTAAGTTTTTTGTTTGAGAGCTCTGAAAATGACACCCCCAAATGTGGTGATTTGGCATGCTGAGTACTTGGAACATGAAGGACGCTGGAAAAGCTTCAGAAGGAGTCTCTTTCTGACCTTCTTCTGCCCCCTTCTTTCTCCTGCTTTCTTTTCTCCCCAAGGCAGGTCATAGAAACTAGAATTCCTCTTCCCTAAGAGAGTTCATAGAACCAGAACCCTTCTCCCCCACAGCTGGCTATAAAACCTAGAAATATTACTCTACCACTTGCCTTTCTGTGTAAGAGCTAGCAATGAAGAAATTCTCTGACCTACCTTATCCAAAGGTAGACATAAGACTGTTACTCCAGAAAGCTCTTACCCTATACCCAGAAAGAAGAAATGTCACACAGAGAAGCCAAGAAGAATCTGAGCAGACAGGCCTTGTTGTGTTTCCCCATTCAGTCTCTTGCCATTAGGTCATACTTATTTGGTTCAATCATATTTACTTTTTATTTTTTGAGATAATTTCCTTCTGTTGCCCATGCTTGAGTTCAGGGGTCAGAATATAGCTCATTCCATCCTTGAACTCCTGAACTCAAGCCAATTCTCCTGCCTCCCACTCCTGCATAGCTAGGACCATCACTAGGACCATGAGCCACCATGCCTGAGTCTGATTTTCTTTCTACATGGCTGTGCATTCCACATCAAATCAGAACATAAAAGTAGACAGTTTTCCCTGAATCTTTAAGTCTTCATTTCTGAAGTCTCCCATGTCACGTAAAACTTTGATTGAATAAATCTATAATGCTTTTCTCTTGTTAACCTCTCTTTTGTTTTAGGTGTGTGGACTGTGACCCTTTCGATGGGGAAGAAAAGTATCACACCTTTTCCCCACCTACATTGTAAAATTTTATCTAAAGTTTGTGTCTTATTTCTATCTCAGTACTGGATTATAAACACTTTTTTTTTTTTAACTTACCACATAACAACTCAGTTTTCTACACAAGGCATATCAAAGGAAATACAACACAGAAAATACCATTTTATAAAGAAAAAGAAACACGAATCACTTTATTGTTGAAGCTTTTAGTTACCACATCAAAGTGTGTAGTTTTGAAATACATGGGTGATATAGTTTGACTGTGTCCCCCACCCAAATCTCATCTTGAATTTCAGTTCCCATAATCCCACATGTGGTGGAAGGGACCTGTTGGAGGTAATTGAGTCATAGGGGTGGTTTTCCCCATGCCATTCTAGTGATAGTGAGTAAGTTTTCACAAGATCTAATGGTCTTAGAAGAGGCTTTCCCCTTTGCTTGGTTCTCATTCTTCTCTCTCAAGGATGAACTTGCTTCCCCTTCCACCATGTTTGTAAGTTTCCTGAGGCCTCCCCAGCCATGCTGAACTATGGGTCAATTAAACCTCTTTCCTTTATAAATTATCAGTCTCTGGGATGTCTTTATTAGCAGTGTGAGAACAGACTAATACAATGGGTTAACGCTAAACCATAAATCAACAAAGTAATCTTAAAAATAATGTTAGTAGTTCAAATGCCGTTTCTCTTTTACTTCTTGGAAACAGACTATTGTATGATGATTTAAGCACATCACAGTTGAGAAGGTTGACAACTGATACAACTGGTGTCTTTGCTTTTGTCTTTAGAGTTAAAAAGATATAAACAATGGCATTTGTATTTATGCACGCATATGTGCAGGGTAGCAGATATGCCACCCCAAAATGTGCCACTTTGGCATGAGGATTTTTTGAGCTGAAGGCAACTGAGAAGAAGCAGATATACACAGATCTCTCTGTCTTTTTCCTATTTGCCTAAAAGCAAGACACAAATTTACAATGATGTCCCTCCTTCCTTGTCTACCAGTAAAAACTAAAGTTAACTACCTGAGATGACTTTAGACTTTTGTCATCCTGGAGAGGGCATCAGAGAAATGTACATAAGGAACTTTACTAATTAGTTTTTATCTATCATAAGTTTCCTATAACTGGCCTGCCCCACACTCTTCCTTCTTTGTTTTCAGTTGAAGATGTTATATAAGCCTGAATTCTAAGCCACCTATTTAAGAACTGGCATTTTAACCATGGGTGTTTCCTATATATATATATATATATGAGATATACATGTTAATAAAATTATGCTTGTTTGTTTCTTGTTAATCTGCCTTTTGTTAAAAAGAGTCCCAGCAAAGAACTCAGAAGGGTAGAGAAAAAATTATTTTTCCTGCCTTACATACATGACTATCAAGGAATAGTTTGTAGAACAAGGAAGAAGAGGGCAAAGAGAAAACAGAGAAACCAGAAAATAAAACCAAGTAGGAGGGTTGAGGAGGTG